GCATAGTGCATAGTGCATAGTGCACACACTGTAGTGCATAGTGCAGAGTGCATAGTGCATAATGCATAGTGCATAGTGCATAGTGCATACACTGTAGTGCATAGTGCAGAGTGCATAGTGCATAATGCATAGTGCATAGTGCATAGTGCATACACTGTAGTGTATAATGCAGAGTGCATAGTGCATAGTGCATAGTGCATAATGCATATTGCATTGTGCAGGGTGCATAGTGCATGGTGCATGGTGCATAGTGCATAGTGCATATTGCATAGTGCATAGTGCATACTGCATACTGCATAGTGCATGGTGCATAGTGCATAGCGCATAGTGCATGGTGCGTGGTGCATGGTGCATGGTGCATGGTGCATAGTGCATAGTGCATAGTGCATAGTGCATATTGCATAGTGCATGGTGCATGATGCANGAGAGAGAGAGAGAGAGAGAGAGAGAGACAGACAGACAGAGACAGAGAGAGAGAGAGAGAGACAGACAGACAGAGAGAAAGAGAGACATCATATACCCACGTGTACTTGTGAGTATAACACTTATAACTGCGCGCGTGCTGGCGGCATCGTGTCCGTATGTTTGTGCGTGTGTACACACGCGGCCACTTAATCAGGGCCGCCATGCCGGGGCCGGTGTCGGAGAGCGCCCGCGTCTATTTTTGCGCCGATTGTTGTTTCATCGTGTGAAGCAAACGTCGTGAATGTTATCTTTTGCAGGAAGCCTTCACCGCGAAGCCGTCCGCGCTGCACATGTACCTCCCTCTCTCTCTCTCTCTCTCTCTCTCTCTCTCTCTCTCTCTCTCTCTCGTCTCTCTCTCTTCTTCTCTCTCTCTCTCTCTCCTCCCTCTCTTCGCACTGCGCGTGTCTCTCTCTCGCGCGCGCGTATCTCTCCGCTCCTTACTCTCCGTCCGCTCAATCACCTCTCTCGAGCGCTCTGCGCTCGCTCTCGTTCTCCCATCGCGTCTCTCTCTCTCTCTCTAGTCTATATATATATTGATTCTTGTTGGCTCCCCCTCTCTGCAGCGCCATCACTCTCTCTCTCTCTCTCGCTCGTCGCTCTCGCTCTCTCTCTCATTATATTACATATTCATTATTCATATATATATATATATATATTATCGCTTCCCTCTCTCTCTCGTTCTCACTTTCTCTCACTCGCCCTCTCTCGCCCTCTCTTTCGTACGCGTCTTTCTTATTATTTCTCGCGCGCGCGCTCTCTCCCTCCCTCTCTCTCTCCCTCTCACTTTCTCTCTTCACACCTTTCTGGTTAGCTGTACACAGTAGAAAGGGGCATAGGCGAATGAAAACACATGTGCCAGTGCGAATTTTGCTGAATTCGCGTAATGTTCGCATTATCGAGTTTACAATGTTATTGGTTGGAATTATACACACACAACACACACACATATATATACTATATATATATATATATATATATTATATATATGAATATACGTATACTAGTCTATAGCCATAGGTCACGACATGAGGTCCACGGTTATTGAAATTTTAACCGGATATCATGTGTATAAATAATATATTAGCAAATATAACGTCAGTCGATGGGCCTGCAAAGCGCCAATACCACATAAATTAGAAACAATATATTAGTCACGATCACAAGAACAACACATGAATGTGCTATGATATAACTACAGCACAGCTCACAGCGCGCTCGCGATCGATGGTAACCAGTAACTATTACTGGCTCCACGAATAGTTTTACGAGCTTTACGAGTTGCGATGCAACATTGGTTTTATACGCTATATACTTCCACACTGCTATATACGATTAGGAAACATTACATAAAAAACAGTCGTCTCAACATTCATTGACAGATATTTTTTCGTTACCTAACTGAGAAACACGCGCCCACTAACAGTTTATTGCTAATTAACTCGGACGCCTGGCATGAAAAAAATGCTGATTAATTATAAATTGTAGGTGCTATCGCGCGACACACATTAAACACACGCGCATGAGGAAAACATGATTGTGCTGACAACGCTATATGTGACTACATAATGTCCACACACGTGGTGTCTGTATAATTGCGTCATTACCCACGCAATCATTAACCATAGTAAATGAAGCCATTTAGATATATATATATATTATATATATATAATATAGATATAATATAATTAAAATAAAACTAAATATAAATAAAATATAATATAATATAATATAATTATAATATATATATAATATAATATAATATAATATAATATAACATAACATAACATAATATAGCATAATATAATATAATATAATATAATATATTATGATATACACACATGTACATGTGTACATCGTGTCTCACTGATGAGGTTCTGCGGAATAGATTTCCGCGCTCGTTCGCTCGCTCAGACGAGCAGCCGAGCGCGTCAATTGATGATGTCATCGCTTGGCGGAAATCCGCGGCCACCCGCCAGGGATGGCAACGAGGAAAACTACATTTTGCGAGGCGCGCGTTCGTATAAACACGGCTATAAAATGACTTCACCGACAAACTATATTAGACGAAACACCCGGTGCTGTATTTTATGACGCACGCAGTGCCTGTTGTACCCATGCGATTTAGATGCGAGTAGTTGTCTACCCATGCGATCGGTTCATAGCGCATCAGCTTATAAAATACGACAGTGTGAGATAGTCGGTTGTTATTTATGGCCAGGGTTGGCTATTCGTTTGATTGTTCGTGACTGTAAGCAATATTTAGGCAATATTTTCCGAGCTAACTTGCGACTGCGAGTGCAATATGGAAAAAAACAGGAAATCGCGGAAATGAGCATTTGATTCCGTTTACTGCCACCTATAACTTTTACAACCCAAGTGATTCTGCATTATATTTCTATGGCACAGTTAAGATGTTAATCCAACAATAGCTAGTTTATTGCCTTCCTATCTTGCCGCATCTATAGTTAGAATCACCGAACTTAAAACAACTACTATCTTCCTTAACGGAGCTGACATGTTCACGAGTTAATGTGTTCTCGTATAGATGAGCGCGATAGTAAAGTAACCCTAAACCTGACTGCAGAATAACAGACTATATATCTAGGATTCGTGAGCATGAACACGTTTCGCTCCATCTCGTCGAAAGAGAATTATTAATCACAGTTTTCTTCGCTTTCAATGACTTCGTGCGTATGCGTATATACGTGCCATAGATAGGCCTACCCACGGTGTGAGTCAACTATAGTCTTTAAACACGGTATGCATCGAATCGGATGTCTGATTCAAAATGACGAGCGATTTTTTCCGCGATTTCTTTCGACGTTTAGGGACTTGAACTGCATGGCAAACCGAAATCTTACGTGTCAGCTGTTCCCGCCAATAAATCCTTATACCGTTGGAGCTCTGACTGTTGGGTCATGTCCAATTCGTGTCCAAAGAACACGGCAAAAATATTCGAATCGTTATGAAGAGCCATTATAGTGTCTACGTTACGTAGGCCCCACGTCTTATTTAGTGTATTCGACTGATTCTGAAAGTTCTGTGGCTGAGCCCATGAAAGAGAGAGAGAGAGTGAGTGAGAGAGAGAGAGAGAGAGAGAGAGAGAGAGAGAGAGAGAGAGAGGGCGTGTGTCGGAGAGAGAGCGAGAGAGAGAGAGAGAGTGTGAGGGGAGAGAGTGAGAAAGGGAGAGAGTTTGGAGAGTGCATGGATTCCTAACGAGTCGCGGGATCGGCATAACAGACTGCGAAGCATGTGCTGTTTCTTCTCAATAACAGCTTTTCTATTTAGGAGCCAGCAGCTGACTCGTGCCAAGCGGTTCGGGCGTAACGCATATACACGCCACGCACACACACACACACAGGCACAAACACACGCTCACGCACGCACGTGCGCGCACATACGCATACGCGTTTACACCCCGATGACACGTACGGCGCGAGTGAACGATTGAAATATGTACATGAGTCATCGCTGCTGACGGGGCCTCGCCCATAATCACCCGCCGCCCCGACATACACTCACCCACGCACACACACCCACCAACGCACACACACACACACACGCACACACACCCCCGCTAGCGCGCCCGTCTAGTACGTATAACAGGATAAACGGCGATCATAGTATAGCGTTGCATTCGACTGTTTGAATAATTTTTCAGCTGTTTGAATTTCTAGGCTGTTTAAATTTCTCGGCTGTAACGTTTGCCGACGTGTGCGTCTGCGACGTGACCGTCCCGTGATTGTAGCGTCGGTGTCACCGGGACGATGCGCATCGCGCGCGCGCGCGGATGTGTGTGTTGTGGTGTGTGTGTTGTGTGTGTGGAGGCGTGTGCGTGTGGTGTGCGTGTGCGTGTGCGTTGCGTGTGTGTTGTGTGCGCGCGCGCTGTGTGCGCTGGCTGTGGTGGTGTGCGTGTCGGGTGTGCGCAGAGCGCATCGCGGCGTGGTTCGTGTGTGGCGCAGCGCTGTGTGTGTGCTGCGCGGCGCGCGCGCGCGCGTGTGTGTGTTTGTTGTGCCGCGGCGCGCGAGCGCGCTGCGCGCGCGCTGGGAGCCGCCGCGTCGTGCGGTGCTCTGGTGTGTGGTAGTGTGTGTGTGTGGTGTGTGTGTCGCCGGCGGGCGCGTNGCTACATAATCGCTAACTCGAGTTAACGCTTAACTCGAGTTAAGGTTCGTCGTGTAGACGAGGCTTATATATTGTGATAGATAAATCGTGGCATAGAATGTCATTGCTGCCCTAGTATGGTCACTCAACTCAAAAAAGTATTTGCCAATCATTTTGTATGTGACGCAAGATTATATATCGTACTTCACATACACAAGCAAAAGTTTGTAATCAAGTATTTTTCTTGTACACTTCTGTACATGTCAAGCATTAACAAGAATATATTATAATACTCGATTATTATACACAATCAAGACCATGAATAGGGACGAATTAAGGATCGTACAAACTCTCACATATATATATGTCAATTTACTGAAGCCGAGGCCGCCCACCTGGGCTTCATGATGTCACCTGCTGCCACCTATGGTGACGTCACGTCCTGATGAAGATTTCCCGAAGGGAGAACGAAAATTTCGAAAAGATTCGTTAATTTCTTGGATTTAACACAAGATAAATATGAATTCATAGTTTTCAACGAAATGCAATGAACCTATTTCATTCAATATAGTACTCGGCCAAATTTAACTGCATGCAAACTCAATTTAAACAGGGTCTTTTTATTTCCAATTGGAATTTGGAAGAGATAACCTTGCTTTTTTAATAATTGGACAAAATATAAGCATAGTCCCTACACGCCTATAACTGGTTCTAATTTATAGATTAAGCAAAAATATAATAGTTAGTGTGTGGTGTGTGGTGGTATCATTACAATATACCCAAAATATGGTTTTTCGTGTGAAACGAAATATGAAGCTGAATATATTGGCTGAGCATCCACAACTACTGCTTAGAAACTACCATAAATGAGCAGGAGTCGCCATGACAATATACACACATCTACGTATATACAACATTTCATGTATTATAAACTGTGAGATCTTCCTTCATGCACTTTCTGGGTCTGCCTTGGCTGACATGATGGGTGCGGGGCGGGCCTGCTGCTTTTTCTTACCAGCTTTCATACTCACTGCCGATCGCCCCCTGAAACGTACGGCACAACAGAATGGCCGGTCACAACTAGATATCATTTCTGATCCCATGAACTTTAAACGAGATAAACTTTTGATGTACTTGGAAGTTCTGCAGTTGCTATTTTTCAGTTCTAAATGCGTTCGGGTTTTTGTGAGCAAATACGCTTCACATTACAGCAGTGAGCAGATAAAAGCGATAAAATCATACATTACAAATTCCCCGCACCTTATTAATAAACCAGAACTAATTTTTCTATCATGGTCTTGGTTTTCCTACTAATAGGTTACTTATTACTTCTACTAAATGCACATTTCTGTCTGCATACCACATTTTAACCCTTAGCAGAAATACACATTGTAACTTTAGGCATATATTATATGTAAAACAGCTATATCATTATATTATACAACGTAACTATGCTTTTTTCGTATTTTTTGTGGGATAAGTTTATTGGTTGGTGGTCAGGGTGTTAGCCAGGAAAAAAAATTAAGGAGTCTCACCATCTGAGCTATATTGACATGGAACTATATGAAGGATATGATTTTATTTTCATGCAGGGGTAAAATTGGGCCGCCCTTATGTCGTTTCTATCAAATTTCATTCGTCTCATCTAAGAATAGGCCGTCCAAAAGATGGGTAGACGGGCCTCTAGCTAACATACTGTTGGTGGTACAACATAAACTGCTGGAATCCAATTGGCTATCTAATCAATAAATCTAAAATCGCTAGGATTGCACTGCAACCAATCACGGTTGATATCCACACTATGGCCATTCAACTGGCCGATTGAAGTTTTGCAAGCTTGTAATTTTTTGCCTGTTATTTCCACTCCTAAAATTAAACCTGCAGCTATACCACTAAGCAATTTCCATGATTTTTATGGGGTGGAATTCAAATAAAAATTTAAGGTCATGCGTATAAAACGCTCCAATGCTACTTTAATGTTCGGAGGTAGGTAAAACTTACTGTTTCTGTAGCTGAGCTTGCTGCGCCTCGTACTGCTGCACCTGTGCCTGCGGCACCATCTGAGCTAGCTCCAACGACTTCTGTAGCCGCCGCAAGATTTCGTAATTCTCCCGGCCACGGACCTGAATAGAGGAATTATACATTACAATCTCTTTCGTTAGCGTCTTGCAGGCACGGGGAACGTGGCTGTGAAATAGTTATGCTTGCAATGAACAGTCCATCAAGAAAGCTTCAACAGTTGTAGCACATGATGCGCGTGGGCCCAGATGAACCAATTTCATTCGTGTTTTTTAATATCAGGGTGTCAAAATTTATAAATAGGTAGAAAAATGCTTTCTATCCTCAGGAAAAGTGACAGCTAAAACTTTTTCGTAGTTTTACAGTTCATGGGAAAAATTAATAGCAAAGTGGATAACAGCTATTCACAGCCTTGGGTGAACATGCTAACGTTCCTGAGAAGAGGAGATGTTATGTTCATACCCAGAATATTAAGCTTACTTAGAATAGTGTGATTTGATCATACAAACACAGAAACAGTGTTGCTCATTTCACTACAGGCAACTCTGTTGTCAATGTCACCTCTATAGAACCTCAATATCTATTAAGGACACTATTGACGTTTACCACCTCTATAGAATGGACAACTGTCTATAAATCTCTATAAAGAAACTTGCAATTCCCCTTGAATGTCAGTCATACAGTGAAAGCACCTCTACAGAACAGACACGCACCATTTATAAATGACACTTTTTACGTTTCCCCGAATGGTTGTTACACCTGGAATAGACACCTATCAATAACGGACACATCTGATACTTCCCTTGAGTGACCCTCATATACAGTCAAACCTCGGTTATCCGAACATCAATTATCAGAATTTCAGATTATCCGAACAAGATCTCGAGGTCCCGTGAATATTTAAAGGAATCCTTTACTCTAGGTTCTCGGGTTATTTTCAGTTAATTTAGGTTAAAATTACGCTACATAAAAAGTTTCATGGTTCAATGACCATTAGAAAGATTTTTTTTTAATGTTTTAAAACTAACAACTACAGTTTGATAATTTTGATTACAACGACGGTGGCGCCACTCAAAGCGCATGATCTGAAAAGTTGCGCAAAAAAACTTTCCAGCCAAGGGCTACAGACCGAGCTATTAATTTAAAAGCAAAAGGATTGTAATATCTTATAAACGACATATAGTTTCAGTTATATAATGGATAAATTTGTCCTAAAATGAACATCGTTCGGTTAAATAGCATTTAGGTATAAATGTAATTGCACCTTTGTGATTAGCCCTCAGTCTGTAACGTGCAAAATATATTGGGAAATGCGCAACTTTTTCAGGGTGGCACGGTTGCGGGTGTCAATGGCGCCGTTCAAATTTCGTAGCGTTGATGTATAATTAATTATAACAATTAAATTAGGTATCTGGTAACAAGTATATTAATACGTGTGGGTATAGACGATTTGTTATTCAGTAAGTACAGTTGTATGCAGTAAAATCCTAGAGTCTAGTATCCCTTTAACGGTAATACGATCAGATCAGTTATCCGAACAATCAGTTATCCAAACAAAATAATCACCGCCCGACTCGTTCGGATAATCGAAGTTTAACTGTTGGTGTATACCTGCAACATGAACATTTCGTCATCTGCATGGAGTTCCGGTCTCTTCGCGATCGTGAACTCAGTCGTCTGACTAGACACCTTGGCGAGCTTCGAAGGGCGTTTTTCGTGCACGCCTTTCTCCTCGCCCTTCCTGTCTCGGCTCGGGCACGCACACACCCGCACGCTTACCGGCCTTCTTCCTAGCACCTTGCCACTGCAACGTAGAAATATTGAGGGCTCATTACAGCGTCGAATTTTAACGGTAATCGGTAACTTTGCGAATGTCGTCAATCACTGTTAAATCTTGGTCTAAACCAAACCAAAAGTTACTGTGTGAATTAAAAGCAGATGTTTAGAATGCAGATGCACAAGTATCATTTTAAAGCAGCTACCTGGCTTTCGTGAAATCGTTAAACAGCTTTAGGGATAATAAATCATGTACATCTCGCCATGACAGCGGCTCACCACTATTTCTTTTTTATGTAATCTTTAAATATTAATAAAACAACAGAAATCTAAAATAATCCTAATCATATTAAACTTGAGCATTTTTCTCAAATCATTGAGAAGACTATATATATTAATTTATGATGTAACACATGTCAGTTGTTAACACAACACATCCAATGAGAAAGTGCATGCAAATTGCGGTCGTGGCCACCATGCTCCATTAAGATGTCTTCCTGCGCACCTTTTTGTAACAAACCACTGTAAAAACGCAAGTAAATAACCTACTACTGATACACAACTTTAACTGAGCGTTAGCTTTGAAAATAAAACTGTAAAAATATGTATCAAGCCTATATTTGCTAAACGAAAATACAACTCGAAAATCGCTTTTCGCTGCGGTTCTGTATAATGGCGGTTCTGTGTATAGGTTCATTTATTGATGACGACGTGATACATCACAACATCGCCGCATGTTGATACATACCGCTGTTTGAAACATTCGACCCAACATTTTCACTTTGTAGTCTAAAAGCTTTGAATGAACGTATTCACAAGCAATTTTTGTTTAGCTATCACACATATATACGCAAGTACAATCGTGCAATGTTAAAATTATTAATATTTGCCTGATTTTGTTTGCCGCTTGAAATTTCGTGGGAAGGCAAATGTTCAAAAAATTTCCATTTTCAAAAAAAAAATTAAAATTTATCAGAAAAATAAAAAAATCTGATATGTCAATATGTGATATTATGTCAATAAAAAACAAAACAAAAAACAAGCAAACATTCTCAGTTAGATGCAATGTATATCGACGTATTTTGACCCAACAATCACCCCAAGTGATATATCGAAGTATTTCAACCCAGTTGTCTACGCAGCTCGAACAGCGTCGATCTCTTATCGGCGGTATTGTTGATGTCCCTGTTCACTGCAGCACAGGTGAAACTCGATTTATGCAAGCGGCAGGACCACTGACATTCTGTATACAATGTCATAGGAACAACGTTGTCCAGTATATACTACTGGTAGTGAAACGCTGGTAGTAATACGTCCGAAAAATTGCACACATCAATCGGCTTATTAAAAAAATAATAAAAAATAATAAAAAATCCCTACCTACCCTACCTAATTTTTTCAAGACCGTTCTCGGAAACACATCATTTATTTTTTTAGGCCTTAGCGCAATACCCGTGCAAAAGGTGGAGAGTATCCTTAAACAATACTTCTCAATGAAATGCACAAAATTAGACAGTTTTGTGTGCACGCGTGAAAAACATGTACAAACTTGTCTAGCCTGAACGACATCGTAAAAAAATCCAAGTGAGCCATGGTCATCTCGCGCAAACAGGTAGGACTGCTTCACAGTTATGGCTGGAGCATGGATACGAATGTAGCGATGCGAAAGGATGTGAGCAAAAGTTAATATAAATGTGACATAGTGAGTCATGCTGATCAAGCGACCAATAACGCGAAGCATGGGGGTAATAGATGTGCAATTGTATTTGGTAAGGTGATAAAACCACCTGTATAATATCCACCTGCATAGTATACGAGGTGAAATAGGCTAATGGGGATTCAGACAGGTTAAGCAAGGGATAGGAGGGCTCTACAAGCAAGCTAGACAGGCAGATGAGGACAGCCCCCAGGGGCTACGCTTCATCTGGTATGTTAACGTTGCAACTTGTACTGTGTGTCTTCGACTGTGTTTTAAAATGAAGTTTCATGTGTCGGTAACCGCTTGATGCTGCCGAGTATACGTCTATCGACACCCCGACAGATGCTTCATTACAGCACTGAGCGCACTCCGACGCTCTCCTAGGGACAATCATTTTCCGAGATCGCGGAAAACGGACGAAAAACACGGAAACGGCCATTGGAAACAGAAAAGATGCTTTCAAACGGAAAAACGAGGAAAACGTAATTTGAAAATATTACAACATGGAAATTTCAATAAAATCACACAAAAACCGTCGACAATAGCATTGGTATTGATAATTATGGTTTACATTCAGACAAGTTTCAGAGTGAAATGACTTACAATTACGACTATTGGTAGCCCTGTGTTTCGGTGCTTTTTTTCATGCAAATATATGTAAACGGAATTTTGCATTTTTGGTGTGTACAATCTCTTATGGCAAAACGGAATTTCCATTTTTTCTTTACTTTGAAACGGAATTCATGATTTTCCCAAACGGAAAAGGCAATATTTTGAAATGAAAAATCACCGTCCCTACTCTCCCTGTCACTCACTCATTCTCCAGCGTGAAGACGAGCTGTATGGGCCGTCGGTTGAGGCCGCCTACGCACGAATTGTAGCACATGAACTGGTAAAGGTTGGTGACGTCGGACGCACCCGCCTGCGGAGCCTCGATCGGAACGATAACGCTGTGTCGCGACGTCACGGGGTCGTCGTGGTACTGTGCGTGCGGATTGTCGCAGCGCACAAGGTGGTGCGGTGCCGGGTGAACTGGAAGTAATGCAAGCAACAACGTGAAGATGCGCACGTGGCAATCACATGGGTAAACGCAGCAGAGCCCGTCCGAACAAAACACGGGGCAACGTGAACGAGCGCGCGCACACCTTGCACATGTAGAGCTGGGTTTACACTACCCACTTTATGTTTGCGAATTCGCGAGTGGACCAATTTCGCAATTCGGCAACTCCGAGTTGGCAAAAACAGAACTCTGAGCTAATCTCCCAAATAGTTGTTATCGACCAATTGCCGACTTTCGCATTTACATTGCCAATTGTCGGTTGTACAGTTGGGAAAATGGTCCAATTCGCCAACATAAAGTCGGTAGTGTAAACCCAACTTAAAGCCACACATACGTAATGGCCAGTAACAATTACAGCATTCGCCGATATAGCTAACTACACCGGCAGCTTACCGTTATTCTCGCTCGCATTCGCATGGTTGGGACAGCGCTTGACGATGTCCTGCACATGCTCAGGCTTCAAATAAATTGCCATCGCGCGGATGAGGCTGCCTGCTGGCGGAGGTAGCGCCGTCTTGAATAGCACTGGACAGGGAGTCAGTGGCTTTACATAAAGCTTGTTGGTCTCCACGGAAAACTGCAAACCATAACCAAAGTTAGCACCAAGATTGCGACTTTTACGTTTACACTTCCGATTGTCGGTTGTACAACAGCGAAACTGGTACAATTCGCCAATTTGACCGCATGAGGTCGGTAGTGTGAACCCAGCTTTAGTAAAGGAATCGACAGTAAAAGCATTGTAAAAAAAAAGATGGCTTCGTGAAAGTTATTACTGAAAGGACATGATGAAAACCCGTAAACACTAAACAATAAAATGCTTCCTGAAAGTTAAACGATAATGATGTTATTAAGAATTTGTGGGCAGTAAAGAATAGATTGTTTCGTGAGATATAAACCAGGATGTACAGATGATTGCACACGGATGCAGATTGATACTAGATTAATGTGACAATTAACATTGTTGGAGACCACAATGTAATTCAGGTCCATATAAGGAATGTGAGATGTGTACTGGGAATATAAATAATGAAGTATTACGTAAAGCCTAGTGCAAACTTGCGACTTTTTCATGCAACTCGGCTGCGATTCTAGAATCGCAGTCGAAATTGCTGTGAAATCGCTATGTCTGCAGGAACGTGCAACTGCAACTCGTAGAGATTCTGGTCGCTTGCAACGAGTTGCAAGAAATCAAACTAGTTTGATTTTCAGCAACTGGTCACTCCCAATCGCTCCGAAATCGCTTTGAAATCGCTTCGAAATCACATGTGTGCGCACACATGGTGAAGCGCGCGACCGATCGCATGCGGTTGCAGGTTGCAGCAACGAGCAACCAAAAGTCGCAAGTCTGCACTAGGCTTAAAGCCGCACTATGCGCATCCAAACGCTAATTTTTCCAGTACTAGACTAGCAAATACTTCGTGTCATGCATAATCACACTACCTTATGGCAAAATAAACTCTAGTTCCTCCCATTTCAGTGCACGTTTGCTTAAAATCCACAAGAAAGAGGTGCGAAATCTGGTAATCTGACGCCAACGCTAAATTGTTTGCCAAAACAATTTCGCCAAGAATCGGTTAGGTGACGTCACATGTTTTTATCTTTGCTACACCCATACCGCTGTACCGCAGCACCGCTCCACGGTTCCTTGGCAGAGCAACGCGAAAGTGTCAACAACATCGGAGAATTTGAACAAAATTGGAGGTATTTTCAAATGCCTTTTATAAGACAACGCGCAGTGACATGGGAGGAACTAGAGTTTATTTTGTCATAAGCATGGATGCTATTTGTAAGTATTTGCTAGTCTAGTACTGGAGAAATTAGCGTTTGGATGCGCATAGTGCGGCTTTAAGGGAAACACACATACAACTCATAAACATCGAACAGAATAGAGAGTATATATAAGTATATTGAATTTTACCCCCACCCAGCAAGCATCGAACGATCGATTACGATTCAACACTCCCTTTCACCTTTCGTTTTACATCTAATGTAACAATAACCACATGTGACTACAAAATATGTACGATGTTCCACTCACGGTCCATACTGCACGCTTGGTGTTCTCTGCAGGTGAAAAGAGCACCTCAAAGTTATACTCTCCGCTGTACGGGGTGCTGAAACAGAAACGCCATGCACCCTTGACTTCTCTCAAGCCTTTCAGGTCCAAGGTTCCTATGTGGCCTTCCAATTATAACTAGAGCATAAACTGTGTTATCAGACACTTCTACAGAATGGGTGGATATCTGACTACAGAGGGAAGTTTTGACATTTCCATTGAGTGGAAGGTATACGGTGAAACCACCACAATAGAAACTTGTTTATAGGGAACACGACTATTCCAATGATAGGCAGTAATTACAGTAAAGCCATCTCTATAGAAGGAACACCCACTTATAAATGACAATTAGGCATCTCCCTCGAGTTACCATTATATATACACAAAGCTGTGCTTTACCTCACCTTTAAAGTAAAATGGTTCAAAGTTACAAACACACATCCAAAATTCTTCCCACCAGCTAACTCCATTTTGACAGATTCATTGATTTTCATTCAACTGTATCAGCAGTTAAAATGTGTTACTTACTTTGAGGGTATGTGAGATGGCACAGAGACAGGTGGCACATGTGATTGCGATGGTGCTACCTGAAAGTAAAAACAGCGAATGTCATTTACCTGGGTCCTTGTGTTATGATTCACTATGCTCATTTACAAAACTGTACTATACGCGAACACTTTTTATGCTGACTGGCTGAAGAACGTTGATATTTACAAGATGCATTTGTTACACACGCATAAAATACACAAATACATAGTCACTTACAACATCTTCATGCTTAATGTGAACGGTCGGCTAAACTGCCAACATGGCGCCATGTATTAGATGACACGTGACCTCTATTAAATCACTACCGTTCCATTGCCCTGTTGGGTGTGGGGGTGTGACACATCGTCTGTCGATTAATCGGAGGGTCAGCAACCTGTCCACTAAGTCTGATGTGTTCATGTTTTGTGGTTGTATTAGGCTAGTTAGCGTGTGCGCCACTCGCATACTTAGGGATATGGGTGAATTCCAAATGGTAACTTTTTCAGGCAATGTCTGTACGACTGTTTTCCAGGTACAAATTTGATGTACGTGAGTAAATTTGCAATACATTTTTAAAACACCGGTCATCGTGTCACAAAAATCGCATGGAAATACAGCTTAACCACATGCCTATCTAGCTTTAATAGTGCCACTCGGCTAAACACAGTCTGAATAATTATTTCAACTGCTGAAATTCAATTCTGAATTATATGACCCTACGGAGAATTTAATAGTGGTCTACTGTCAGATTGTAAACTTGTCAGCAACTTTATCGCGTTTTACACCAACAGATGGCAGCACGAGCTTAAAACACATCAGCTGTGCAAGCGGGTCTACTTTCTTTCTGCTGAACATCGACCATGCTTTGTGACATGCGAGACATGCCGTATCAACGACATAAGGCGCGTTCACACGGACGTTTTTGGCCCGAGTCTAATTAGGCCCGTGCCAGATTTGGTCCTATCGAAAACGTCGGACCAGGCCCGAGCCAAATTTTAGCACCAGCTTTTGGCGAGCGGTAGATGCCGCGAGTGTCGAACGTGTACTTCGACGAAATAAAGTCCAAAACAGTATAAAAATTCGAAAAATTTGATCAGGATGCACGTTTTCAAGATTGATAATTGAACTCGGAACGGATGTAAACACTCTGAATCGTACACAACGCCATCTCGCGACATACTGCCAAAGTATCTGTGAGATATTGGTGCAATAAATTTATTTGAATTTGAATTTGAATTTGACAGACAGTATTCACTTGCGTACGTGTGAACGCTCCGACTCAAACCGGCCCGAGCCAAACCTAGACCATTTGGCTCGAGCCAAGCATGACCGTGTGAACGCGACTATATATCTGTTGGTGCTTCGAAGCAATCACACACGCATGCAACACCTATTTCCCAGCTGATACAACTGAAACTGAATCCTTATCCCTATTATATCAAGTATATCGCGCAGTACATGTGTAAAATATAAAAATGTATAATACACTGCAACCTAATGTATTACACTTACGTCATAGTGTTATTATAACGCAGCGAGCCGAAACCATCTTACATGTGTTTTTTTCTAATCATTACATGCTACCGCAGAAAAACAAATTATATTACTTGCCTACTTATGTAAGAAGAAAAAAATGATATTACCCAATTGAAAACCTGGACCTACTTTACTCACCTCATGATTGCCATCACCAAATGGTGGAAGCTGTAAATAAAGAGAAAAATGCCGGGAATTATTACTAAAATAATATTGACAAAAAGACAAAAAGACAATAACACACAATATGGATTGAACAGTTTATTGAGATATTGAATAGGGATCAATCCGAAAACATGCCGAACTGATAATGCTGACTGAGTGCACAGGCACTTGGAGCGTTTCAATAAGGTAGTATCGAAAGCAAAGACCTCGAAAACGAAGACCTAAGACCTAAGACCCCGAAAACAAAGACCTCTCGAAAAATATACTGAGGCACTAAAAATCTTCGTTAATTGGTGTTTCGCAAACATTGTCTACCATATCCGCAAATAATAGCAGGGTCTTCGTTTTCGAGATTACCACCCCCAAAATCTCGAAAACGAAGACCACCGACTATCAATGTAGACAACACTAGAATTAAAGGCATTTATAACAGTGGGAGACTAGAGATAATTTTTCACAAGAAAACACAGGCAACCCGTGCACGGTTTATTTGGAACAACAACCATTGCTTCTCGACGGCGGAACGTAATGTTCTAAAAGAAAGCGAAAGTACTGTATAAATATCGGATAGAGTGTGTTGTTTGAGCAGCAGGCTTGTCTACATTGATAGTCATTAATTCGGCTTAAAAATGGGGGTCTTCGTTTTCGAGATTTTGGGGGGTAATCTCGAAGACCCTGCTATTATTTGCGGATATGGTAGACAATGTTTGCGAAACACCAATAACAAAGATTTTTAGTGCTTCAGTATATTTTCGACAGGTCCTTGTTTCGAGGTCTCAAGTCTTAGCGTCTTTGTTTTCGAGTCTTAGTCTTAGGTTTCGTTTTCGATACTACCTTTCAATAAAATAAAATGCCTAAATAAATACGAAATCTATTTACTACCAAAGCTCTACTAGTAGCACTGTATATTTATGTGTCAGTGTGCAGCAGCAGCCAGCGAGTTGCTCATAGGGTCAGAGTCATACCTATGTGTCCCGCTACCTATGTGTCCCGTACCTATTGTGTCCAGTACCAGGTACTATGTGTCCGGACCTATGTGTCCAGTACCCGGTACCTATGTGTCCCAGTACCCCGGTACCTATGTGTCCCAGTACCCGGTACCTATGTGTCCAGTACCCAGGTACCTATGTGTCCCGTGCGTACCTATGTTTCCCAGTACACGAAACAAAGGATTTCAGGATTAAGCCTAGGCTGTTACGTCAGCAAACAAAAAAATTAAAATGTTTTTTTAGAATTTCAATACAAAACTGTCAGTTCAGTTCACAATTTTTGCATTAAGCGGGGGACACACCATGCGAAATTCGCATATTCATATTAATATATATTTTATATATCATTATAAATGTTCAATTTCCATTTATCGTTTTTTTCCATGACTTTTATATGACTTCCATATAATATATATTATAATGAATGCGATTAATTTTGAGATTAATTCAGAATATTTTCGTTTGTGTTAAAAGAATTTTGAGTCCCGTATTTAAAAGGTTGAGGCTGTAATTCAGTATTATTTCATTTGTTTAAAGACATTTTAAGGGAGACATACTGAGCATAGTTTTATTCTCTCATGACTTTAAATAGTACCCCCTTTTAAGATGGGGAACATTGGTACGGGAAACATAGGTACTGGGGACACATAGGTACCCGGCGTACTGCGGATACATAGGTACCGGGACACCATAAGGGACACATAGGTACCTGGGTACTGGGCACATAGGTACCGGAACATAGGTACCGGGACACATAGGTATGGACCCGTATTTAGTACCGCAGATGGGGTCGTTGTCGTATCAGCTAACAGATATGTACCTGAGGTAGTTTTAGGTTGTTTAGTATTATGTTTATATTTTTATATGAGGTATGTTAGGGTTAGGTTAGGGTTAGGGTAGGTTAGGGTGAGGTTAGGGTTAGGGTTAGGGTTAGGGTACACTTCTGTAGTACAGGTCTGGTACACTTTGTGTATACATATAATCAAGGCTCGACACTAGCGGTGGCCCGGTGGCCCGGGGCCACCAAAACTTGATGTCGGGCCACCAAAATTTCCAAAAGTTAAAATTTGGTGGCCCGAACGGGCCACTAAAATTTCAAAGTGTCTATGTGATAAAAATAATTGTTTCTTACGTGCTAATCTCATTCAAAAGAGAGCGAGCAATTCGCGGAGCGAGGGCACACGTACGCACGTGCAGCATTCTATACGCGGGCATACACGGCGCACGTTTAATCGAAGTCTACTGCGGCTGCAACAAGCCACATTATTGTGTTACATACATGCGTCCCGGAAGGGTCGGTACGGAGCGGGACACATGGGCAAAATACGGGACGTCTGGTCACCCTGATTGCTAGCTAGCTGCACTGGTTCTCACTGTTTCGGATCCAAAGCGAAACTGCCAGCGTTCGAAAGTTCGCGTAGAATAACTGAACTATTCCATGAAGATGATCAGTTTTTAATCCGAAGTGTAATATTAGTGCTTTGTAAGTTTATTTATGCATTTTCTCTGTCTTTACGCAACGAATATTTGAACTTAGTCTTAGACATGGCTGCTTTTTCTTTTTTAATGCATGGCGTACAGGCTACTTTGTTGATATAATTATGGTTCTACTTTATCTTATTACATCTGCAATATTTATTTTTACAGTTTCAAAGCCTGCCAGACATTTTAACTTTCATGAGATTAAATGTATATGTTTTATTTTAACATGAAAAGCCAATGTGTTGTTGTTTATTACAGTGCATGCTCTGTGACTTTGATCTTCTTGAACGTCTGAACTGATCGTTAGCATGTGCACGCGCGTGTTTAGATAAAAATAATGAGTAAAGTAGAAAAATGATATGCAAGATTCTTGGTGAAAATTTGATGCCGTGGAATGGATAATTCAAATGTATGCCTCAACATCAATGTCAGTGTGTGCATTTGTGTGGGTTTGCTTTAAAGACTTGTGCAAGTGCATCAGACGGCCCAATTTTCAATAATATACAATACGAGATTGAAAAAGATTTATAATGTTTTTCTTTGTGTTTTTTTCGGGCCACCCGATTGCATTTTCGGGCCACCAAAATTGAAAATCAAATTTTGGTGGCCCGATTCGGGCCACTAAAAAAAAAAGTTAGTGTCGAGCCTTGCATATATGTACCTCGGGTACATATCTGTAGTACCTGATACGACAACGACCCCTTCAGCTTTAGTACCAGGGTACGTTCCGGCAGTACCCTAGGGACATTAGACCCTCGTAGCCTAAGCGACTGCTAGTCTTGATCGGTACCGTCCCTTCTCACACGCTCGATATAGGGCGTGTGAGAAGACGGGTACCAGTCAACTGCCAGTCTACCTCATATGAGTCATAAGCAAATCTACCACGTGCGGCGGCGCTAGCGCATCGCCCACACTGGGAGACGTGTCAGAACTTGCATTGCTCGCGTAGTCTCCCTGCCACCACGAACCTGGCAGCACACACCGCTATACACGCATTACACGCTAATCACATAGGGTCTGCACGGAGACCATCGCAACACTAAATATTATCTTGATATTATCAAGAGCGGATCAATATACAGAGTGTACAACGGAAAAACGGAAATAGTGCATTTCACGACTACATTATTCTACTTTGCCTGCGAGTCTAGAATAATTTCATGGTATTGCATTAAGCAGAATCTTTGCTCTCTAAAACAAGGCCAACCGCTTGTCAATACGATACTCCTAGCGGAGATATCGGCTCCTAAACCTCCCCTCCACATGCAAACGCCACCTCGAATCCACTTCTGCCACCATCCTACACGCGGCTAAGCGTTGCTTCGTGAAAGTTCGGTTTTTCCGCGATAAATTTATGAATGGACGGCGCTTCGGTTATCATAGGTGACATTCGGGGCATCGCCTATGCCTTATCTTCCATTATCTTTCCTAGCACGGCTAACGCCGTCATGATGGAGCCGCTCCATCAAGTTTTTACAACGCAGCTCAGTTACTAAGTGTAGTAAACAGTACCAAATTTGGGCATATGACATCAATTATCAGCGCTCCAAGTGGTGACGGAAACCGATAGCCAAAATGCTTACCGCGTGTAGGATGGTGGCAGAAGTGGATTCGAGGTGGCGTTTGCATGTGGAGGGGAGGTTTAGGAGCGATATCTCCGCTAGGAGTATCGTATTGACAAGCGGTTGGTCTTGTTTTAGAGAGCAAAGAATTCTGCTTAATGCAATACCATGAAATTATTCTAGACTCGCAGGCAAAGTAGAATAATGTAGTCGTGAAATAGCACTATTTTCCCGTTTTTCCGTTGTACACTCTAGGTATTCCGCTCTTGATATTATAAGTGAGAACGAGAGTCAATCATCACCATCCGCATCGAAACTTCGAAGTTACCATACTATTGTTGGATAATATATCAATATATAAAACCATGATAGTTAATATGCGTCTAACCGCTCCTGTAGCTCACAAGCGGAAAGACAAACGCGCGTGGGAAATATAGCAGTCATGTGACTTACACAAACAAATGAAAACATGCATATAAGACAGAAAGCACGCGTAACGGCGCAACTACATCATCCGCGGTTCCTCTGATCTAGCATCTATATCATTCCCACTCTATAGATAACACCAAGAGTCCATAATAGAAATTATATTATTATTCTATCTGCTTCTAAGTTTTATATTCGTTTCTATATTCTTCTATCTTCTTCTTCTATTATGGACTCTTGATAACACTATAAGCATCTAGAGCACGTTCAAACATGTACGAGACACGAGACGATCGAGAGGCTGGCGTTTACTAGAAAGATATATGCGCGCGTCAAAATGACGAATGTGGCCACCTTGCCGCGGCTTTTCTCGATACATTTTGAGCTGCTGGTTGCTTGCACAGCAGTCAGCCAAATAAAGAAAAATAACGGGCACGTATATATTTCATATATATAGGCATATATTATCTCTATTATGAGCTCTTGATATATATATATATATATATATATATATATATATATATCAGAAGTAGATAATAGGGAA